TTTAAACCAATTCTTTACACTATTTTAGAGAGAAAAGTCTAATTTCAACCCATTCAAACAAGCTTTTTGGTTTGGTCTATTTTTGTCTTCTCATAAACCCAAATATGTAACATAATTTTTAAGAACAGGTGCATTCAAATCCAGCTCTCAAAAAAAAAGGGAATCTGATAACTGTTAGAGGTTTCTCTGCCTTCAACACCTAATTCGGGATATTTCAGTTCATGAAAACCCTGTTAAGGTAGGTTTATGCTTGACGCATCTACCTTCAGAGTAGATGCACAGCGTTTTATTCTCTTCAGCTTTTCCCTGCCGTACCAAATATTCTAGTAGGCTCTAGGGGGCAGTGTAGCACACAGACTGCCAGCTTACAACACTGGAATACAGGTAGAAGTAGAAAACAGTTTCAAGCGTTTTTACTTCCCCTAAGTGTCGTTCAAGAGTGATATTTGTTCACCATCTGTTTATTGTGATATTTACTCGCCACAGGACACCAGCGCTCCGGTACTAGCATTGATTAGCCCTCCAATAGTCAGAGCTTCAGTTTTTTTGTTGTTTTGTTTTTGTTGTTTTTTATCTCGCTGAGCACTGCAGATTTTGGACTTAGGATAAATTTGCAGAAAAAAAATCTGAATTTGGTAAAGATCTGATTTTGACATGTGAATGAGTGTTTCTTTTTTTTGCCAAATAAACAGCAGAAGAAGCACACCCCACCACTAGGGGGAGTCATCAAGTGTTTTTAAAAGGGAAAATAAAGCAGGGCTGCAGAGCTACGCCAGCTTAGTCCAAATGGACTAATGGTTTAAATATTGTTAAAGAATACAAGGAATTGCACATCACTCTCTCTCTCTCTCTAAAGGGCTGGTTATACTCACCCCAGCAGTGTGTCGCAGTCAGCTTGCCACGGGTATTTTTGATTCATGCCCAGTATTGAAGCATGGTCGCCGCTATGTTATTCCACGCCACAATGCAAGAGGGACAATCAAGAACTAGCTGTGGGTCTAGATACTGCCGAGGGGGTGAGGAAGTGGGGGAACGTTTGTGTGACAACGAAGGGATATGAGGTCGAAAAAGCAGGGATCCAGGTGGAAAAAGGGTTCCAGGGTTCTCGCGCACTCTGCAGAGTGTCTGCAGAAGGGATGGGGGCACATTTGCGTTCACTGCGACACACGCAGACGACCTGGTTTCTGAGGATAAATCAGCCTGAAGAGTCTGGTCCCATATTTTATAAGGCGAGTTTGCTGCTATTTTTACTTGCTGCTACTTTTAGTATTTGCATGATTTTCACTTTTGGTTCCGTATGCTGTCTGTGATTACAGCATTCATCTTTAATAGCATTTTCCTATTTAATTTTTCTTTCTGTGTGTGTGTGAGTGTCTTTTGAAGTTTGCATTGCTCATGTTACTTTTTTGAACTATAGAAGCGGATCACTGTACCATTTTAAGGGTATAGTTGAGGGGCTCGCTTCTGTCAGGGAGCCCCAGGGCAGCTGTGGCTACAATGTAGCTTGCCACCATCAGTGTGTGAGTGTGTGTGAATGGGTGAATGAATGTAGTGTAAAGCGTTTTGGTCAAGTCTCCTGACTTGAAAAAAGGCGCTATATAAGTACATGCCATTTACCATTTTCGCAATTTTTTGAAAAAAAACCCACCCTCTCTACTTTAAAAAAGAAAAAATTAACATGTACAACCCTGTACCCGCTCCCGAGAGGGAATGCCTATTAAACACGTGTGAGAGAGTGCATGAGCCCATTTCTCCTCGTGCACGCTCTGTTTTAAAGTTGCTGTTTACATCGCTCACACAAGCTTAATTGCCAAAGTAAGATTTGCAATTTTTCCAAGATGTCAGACTCACCCTCGGTAAATGAAAACGGGGACGAACACATAGAATGGCCTTACATAAACATTATCACCAGAATGATTGACAATTAGGAGGACCACTTATTTTGATGATCCACACGGGAAAAAAAACATCCTCCAATATACCTTTAAGAATCAGTACTATTTAAGTTATGTCTTGATATGCTACCTAAAGAAGCTAATTAAGAAGTTTGATATGCTAATTAAAGAAGCTGCACATTCATCTTATCCTGACTATACTGCTTTTCTTAGTTTAGTTAAAGCCATATATGGACAATTTTTTATGTAAACTACAGAAAGAGATGTTTTTTCAAACAAGGATGTCAGACCTGTTGGGTCTTTGTTGACTGTTGTAGCTGTGTAAACATTTCCAGCATGGTTCTCTGCTTTAGCACTTTGGTTTTCTTCTTGGGAACCAGGCTGTATGTTCCCATCCTCCTCTTCTTCTTACGGGATGAAAGGCCTAATGAGTAGGGTCCTGGTTCAGAGAAAAGGGAACATTCCAAATATCATCAGGCACCAATGGTTTCCATCAGAACGTCAGTCGTTGGGCTCGGTCCTACCTAGGGGAAACTTAGCAGGAGCTGAAGAAGCCGAGGGAGCTGCAGGCTCTGTGGGAGCTGCTGGTGAAACTGATGAAGCAGTGTGCGCTGAAGCTGGCGTTTCTGGTGGACTCTGAGGTAGATGGTTCGACGCAGGCGACGGCTGAGAGGATTTCTGCACATCTGGCGCGACTGGAGACTCCAACTTGGCACTGTTTGCTTGTTTCAACTCCCTGTTAATAAGCTACAGGTGACAAAAACAATGAAATGTTAGAAGCACTGCAACATGGTGAGGTTTAAAGTCTGTTCGTTACAGCTAACCGATAAGCTTTTTTCTCCCAAGATTCCTTCATGTCACACTGATTTACCTTTTATTTTTTATTTCATTCTTCAACATCCGTATTTATTTAAACACAACAAATCAGGGTAGATTTCACCAAGATGCAACTAAATGTTTAAGACCCAAAAGAAAAAAAAGATGGCTGGATGATTGTCCTGAAGACCTATCAGGGCTGTAGCCTAAGCTTTTTTACCCTGAGCATGATTGCTCACAAAGTTAGGGGCAAATTAGGGGCACTATGAACTTTCTTAAATAGCAGCATTTTTTAAATTTAAATAACATGGGTAATAATAACTTATGTTTCATGAGTTTTTCCAATGGGGCTTTCCAGTCACCAAACGCCAAACTACCTGCCTGTTTCTTTGCTGCTCTTTCCTATGAAAGGTTGTCCTCAAAATCAAGCCAAAGGAAGAGTTTGATCCAATCAGATCTAAACAAAGGATTAGCTAGTAAGCAAGCTGGTTTTTTTTTTAAAGGCTGCCAGCTAAAGTGCGGTGCCAGAGGAGCAGTCTGGCGTTAAGGGTTTGGCTCAAGGACCCCGAATGGCAACCTGTGGGGCTTGAACTTAGGACCTCAGGATTCAAAGCTCTATGCAGTAACCACTAGGGCACCACCTCCCCGATGTTAGCTGACATCTCCCATTGAAAATGGAAATAAAGGCCCCTTCTCTTCAGCTAAATAATAATTTATGCAGGTTTTACCTTTACCTTTGTCATATGCCTTTTATTGCACTTTCCGTAAGACCAGTCATGATAATGAAGCCATAACAATTTGATTTGTGTTTTCCTCTGATAAACATGCATATCAAAATAAGGGATGTTAGAAAAAGATAATGATGCAATCACATTTCATTATCATAGGTACATCAACATTAGGAGACAGATCATGATTAAAAATACTCCAAAAACATAAAAAAACAATATAAACTTTAAAAACATTTTGTAGTGTACCAGAAGGTTATTTTAACCTGATCTGAAAATAAATCGTTTTCGTGTCAAATGCATCTTAAAGACCGTTACCAAAGGCACATAGTGGATGAGGTTATGTATGTATGCAATAAATGCAGGGAGGATCTATTTTAGTGCCACAGGTTCAAAGAAAATAAATATGAAATATATAATATGTACATCAAAATTTTTAATACAGGGGGGACATGTGGAAGCGTAGCACATTTGCACAATTCATGTTCAATGGGGAAACTATAGCTACAGTGTTTTGGAAGAGGGAGGGGCTTACTCACTCACTACTCACTGAAGGCACTAAACTATCAGCTATCACGGCATCTGTTGTCACCAAAGTCTGCAACAAGATGGGAAATGGTAGAAATAAAGTCAATGAGCTGGCAACATTGTGCTCATCTGCCTCGGTGAGCTGTTTTTCCCAGCGACGGGCTGTTTCATCATCCTACCTCCAGAATGACCCCCGCTGTGTCCTCGGAGGGTCTACTGCTGAGTTTAAAAGACAGTTTTCGCAGCCCTTAAAAGTCCAGGCATCAACATATATCCATCGTAGTCTTAATGTACATAGTGGAAGTTTGGATGAGTCCAACGGCGAACCAGCTCCAGGGCGGAGAGAGGATACGGCTGACCGAGGCTAGCTAGGCTTACTGTGGAGGATCTAAGGAGCACGGCGAAAGATTGAAAAAGTACGCAGAGGAAACAGAACAGTGAGGGTGGGGGAGAGGCTACTGCTGGCCGGGAGTTACAGGATTATGTTTCAGGAGACTGCCAGGGAAAATGAGCAGCTTGGCTACGGCTAGCCAAGGCAAAACCTTAAAAACGAAGTGCTGGAGTTGGATAAATGACAGCTGGTGGTCAGAGAATGCTGCGGGCATACTGCTGGTTGGTGTCTAGTCTGGAGGTAGGATGATGAAACAGTCCTTCTAGGGATAAATTAAAAAATGTTTTTTTCAAAGCCACCTACAAAGCTCTTAAGATAATTGTCCATTTCATCAGTTGTCAACATTATTTTTTTCTTTTATTCTGATTAATAAAAAGCTAATATCTGTTGCCCCCTACACTAAAATAATCGTCAGTTCAAGATCAGTGTCATATCCTAATTTTGATACCCAATAAAATATTGATGTACATGAGAGAGCAGTTGAAGAAAACCCATGCAGCAATTTGGTTGTAATATGTGTCAAACGGGAAAAGAGATACAGTGGCAAAATAAAACCACCTAATTTGGGGAATATACAAAAAAAAAAACTCCCAGGGTAAACCAGTCAGCTTTGTTCATTTGGAAACAGAGAGTGCATGCATAGCAAGTGGAGAAAACTAAGACATACACAATCAAATTAGTTAAAAAAAAACTCTTTGAGCTTCAGAAAGCTTCAGAAAAAAAAAAAACTTTGTGCAAACCGTACAAAATGTTCTTTGATAATTACCTTTCACAGCCTCACCCCTTTATAAACCATTATGCAACTTTGGCTGTGTCTGAACATCCGCCCTAATCACTATTCAGGGCATTATACAGTGATTATGCTTTTTTAGATGATGTCTAGTGAATGAAAAAGTAATGGATTCCAATTTTCCCCACAATGCACCTTGAAAAGTGGTGATCATCAATGGTCATTAGATGAACAGATATATCCGAGATCACTTTGCGAGAGCTCTCCTCACAAAGCATCATGGGATTTGTCGTGGCAGGAAGAAAGAACAAAGATGGCACAGGCACCATGTAGAGTTAAGTGACCAACAGGGAGGGAAACGTGTTGATCATCTGTCCGAACAGTCAGTTAACCGAGTTCACTATCAAGTCCCTGCTCGATATAGTGATAGAGGGATTTAGGTGTTACGGCGGACATTCGGACACAGCCTTTGTTGTGGCCATTTTTTTAAATTTATTTAAAAAGTACTTTCCATTAAAATTGTTTTGGTGTATGGTGCACAGGCTGGTGCTTCTTTGTATTCTGATTGAGAGCTGGATTGGCTTTGCAGCTATACTTTCTTTTCCCTTTTAAAAAAGGGTGTTGAATATTCCATTTGTTCTTCTTTACTTTTAACCCAGTTAAATGCACAAAATGTTTTAATTTTGGGGTGAAGAAAAAAAAAAAAAGCATCTTTCAGATTTGGAAAAAAGCGTTTTGACCAAGCCTTAGGCTCCAAACTGTTAGTTACTTAATCCCTTCCTATTTCTTCTCCTTTCTTAATAATTTCTTTCAGTGTTTGTTTTGCCTCGATGTGCCGTACCTTTGTTCCATTCCTCCACTAAAGAGAGGAAGAGATATCTACCATTGGCATATATATATATATATATATATATATATATATATAGATATATTTATTAGGGGCGGAACGGTTCACAAAATCCACTATTCGGTTCGGTTCATGGTTTTGTGGTCACGGTTTTCGGTTCGGTTAGCCCGACATGTTGGTTGTGTTGCTGTTAGCATAAACAAAACATGTTGCACTATGCTTGCACACTGTTACACTTTTATCCACAACTTTCTTTTTGCCGTCTTCCAACTCTTGTTGTTTCGCACTCGCCATACCCACACAATTCTCCACAACAACTGATTTTTTTCTGCTACACCCGGCTACGCTGCTTCGCTTCTTCTTCTTCTTGTTTACTAATGGTGAAAAACACACGCGAACCGAACCGAGACAGTCGAACCGAACGGTTCATAAGGAGTCCAAAGAGGTGCCTGGCCTGCATATAAATATTTATATGATTGCGGTATTAACCTAGGTGCTGCATTGTAGAAATTTATGCCAGGTATATTCAACCCCAAAGACTTTCAATGAGCGCTGAAAACTACGACCTCGTAAGACACGATTTTCTGTTGGATTGGATGCAAAATCAGATTGTGTTTTCAAGGTTTTGCACAGCTACATGAACACTCAAGGCAGAAAGGCTAAAAAAAATACTGCTTGAGCATAGGCAGCATGATATTATGAAATATGTAATTACAAAACTATTGCTCAGTATTGAAGTGATATCAATTAAACCATATTTTAATGGATGGTTATTCTCTTTTGAATCTAAATATTGAGATTAAGCTCCTCAGCCACCAAAAACAGACCTGTTTTATGTTACTAAAATATTCAAGAGAAACTTAAATCATGCAATGTCAACAATAACAAGCCAAAGTTTGAAAAGAAAAGGAGACTGAATATTGGAAACTCAGATCGGTGCATGTCGATGAAGAAAGTTCCAAGATGCTTGGAAAAAATACAAATAAAATGACTCAATCCATCTGAACAGAGCTTAATATTTATGTAAGGAAGACAGTAACACATTTTTGTGCAGCCTATCTTTTAAACTAACAAAAGCTGCACTATGGAGGAAGTTCAGAGAAGAACTGAGTGTAAATGTGTGTTACCTTCTGTGCCGGGCTGACTGCAGGTCTGGACATGGTCTTCCGGGCTCTGTGTACAGTAACAGGTGGTGGAATTGTGACAGAACTTGAAGCAAATCCATTTTTAGAGTCCGATGTCCCCTGTCCTGACAGATTCCCCGTACTGGGGGCAGTCCTTAAAGCACCTGAGCTCTGCGCACACCCTGATGCTGAGGTGAGCAGAGGTTTGGCTGTTTGTCCCCCTGTCGGCGAGCCCGAAGGCAGCCTGTTAGTCCTGAGAGGGGAAGCTCCTGAATCGGGCGTCACTGCAGCGTTCGTGTCCTGCTGCTGCTGCTCCTTATCGAGAATGAACCCATTGCTTCCAGTTACAGATCCATGTGGAGTCTCCGCCTCTGCGGAGCCATTTTCATTCACCAACGGCAGAGCCTTAGTGCTGCTTATCGTCAGGTCCGTGTGCCTCCCATTGTCGCTTTCTGCGCCGTTAAGCATCGCCTCTGCTGCAGGGGGAGAGCCGTGTCCTGCTGCTACGTCTTTGTCCTTATCTGATTTAGACAACAGTAGAAATAAAAATGTTTAGTAATGAGACACTGAATCCAAACTTCTCAGAAGTAAATCTGAAGTCTGACCTGACTTCTCCTCTCTGTAGCTCAGGTGATCCAGTCCTTCTTTCTTTGGGGGTGCAACGTTATCCACGGCTAAACCAGCGGGCTGTGGATAAAGTATGTGAACCATTAGTAGCCAGTTAAAAAAAAAAACAATACCTTATAGCAGTGTCATCCTCAAACCTCAGAGGCCTTAATTATATTTCTCTACAAACCTCTTCCTCCTCACTTTGAAGATACTATTTAACATCATAACAACGCTTTAACTCTGATTTCTGGATTACCACCAAAACATTTGACTTTATTTGAGCTATTCATAGCTGAATCTTCTGTAGTACCTCAGGAAAATTGTTCTGTGTAAGAGACAAACTAATTGTTGCGTCGATTGTAGCATTAATCAACTTGAAGCGAAAATCTGTGGAAATAGCAGCAGAGCGATTTCCCAAAGGAAGGTTGGCATGTTTGGGCTGATTGAACACATCCATGCTTTAGAGAGCAGATCAAACCGGTTCAACCAACCGGCTGCATTTTATTGGATTCTTTTATAAGATCCTATTCCTTAAATGCAGTGTTCATTTAATGTTCATGTTTGTTCCCCTTTAAGAAAGATTCACTCTTAGAAAATAAAGAACTTCTCATATTTCTTCTGTAGCAAATGTATGGTTCATTGGGAAAATGATTAAGGGTTGTTCTTCTAAGCAGGTCAAAATATCTATAAAGTGAAACTATTTTTGAGCTTGAGATTTACTAATTTTTCTATTAATACAAAAAAAACGAGGAACAAGAAATAAAATCTGACAAAAATAGCTGCAATTAATGCATCTTAACTCCTGAATTAACCAATTTCTTAGATTATTGGCATCAAGGGGAGAGTATGGTGAGCAAAAAGATACGACACCGCCATCTTTCTGAAATACCCAGCAAATCTAAAACATCCATCAATCATCTCTAACCTCTTGCAGGAAAATCCAACCCTCTTCCCCTTCAGGAAAAAAGGAATAGATCACTGTAGGCTGAATGCACCCATCTTTGTTGCAGACTCTACAGTTTTTTGTCAGCATTTCAGCACAAATATAAAAAGCAAGAGAGGCTTGGATCGGCCTGACCTTTAAAAACATCCAGACAAGCCTGAATGACGAGTGTTAAGGCCCCCTCTTTACTCCGTTTGAGGCTTTTAGGAGGCCAAACAAGGCCAGGTGCAAACACATGTAGAGAACAGGATCAGGAGTCTTTCTAAAGACAGAGTACAGTGTCATTTCAAATTGGCCAAATCAGAAAACCAATAGAACGTCGAGACACCCAGAGGCTGCACATTGACAAACCCATCCGGACACTTTCTAATCAAGGCCGTCTCATTTTTTTCCCAGACAGCCTGAGTCCTGCATGCAAGACACACTCTACACAAACCATCAGGACAGACATCCACAGTCCACCTTACAACGAGTGATTAAGAGAACTTAAATCCAAAGGAGACCAGCACCTTGTCAATCAGTAAGAAGCTTTGCTCAACAGCTCCTCTGTGGCACAGAAACTGAGGCTGTTTCCCAAAGACCTTCCAGTCTGAGTGGAGCTTGACCTGCTGCAGGAACACCTGGGAGTGGAAGGACTGGAGGAACCCTGCGGTTTCCTCTATTTAATCAAAGAGCAACACAAAAAAACAGCTCCGTCTCTCCCCCTAGTGGTGAAAAGTGGGACTGAAACTGAAGTCAGAAGGCAGGGAGAGAGAGAAGGGGGAAGGGAGGCAGAGAAAGCTTTCTGCAGAGCTCCGCCATTTCACAACTAGACTGTTTACTGACATGGCCCGGCCATTGCAGCAGCTTTCCACTAGATGGAGAACTGAATGGGGTTGAGAGGCTTATGGAATAAAACGCTGAGGAATCTCCAAATGTAAAACCAAACCTGAGGGAAATGATTAGCAGAACTTAAGGCCTCACCTAACATAAAAAGATGGTGGATTAGACTAAATGAATACCAGAGTCAATACTGCTGTTAGACTCTGAATATTACACCACCGTCTCTTCAATGTCGGGTGAGGCTGGTATGTCAAGGCCTGCCACCTATCTTTAGATCTTTCAGTCACTAAATTATTCTTTTTTTCCAAACAGGAGGAGTTTAGAGAGCTTTGAATAAAAAACATTTTATTGTAATTATAACTCCATCCATCCACCTCAGACCAGCTCTCCTGTTCCTGCTTAAATAACGAGCCTTCCCACACCCTGATGGTACAAACACCACGTCTTCAGGCTGTTTTCCTTTGAGATTAATAAAGCGTTTTTGAATTCAAATGTATCCTGTTTGTTTGCAACAGTTGGTAATGGTACGGTTTATTCACCCTCTCCTGCAGTTCCAAAACATGGCTGTCCCACTATTTAAAAAGCAAGACAAGAGGATGTGAGGCAAGACGAGCACATTACAGTAAACAAGGAAACGGCTAAAAAAAAAAAGTTATATGTAAAGACAAATCAAGTTTAAACAATCTTGTGGAGCTATGCAAACTAGTGAAGAGATAACGGTCTACAACTGAATTTAAAAACCAAAACAGCAATGACACCCCATGCACCTGCTTGCAGTTTCTTTTTCTTAATCACAATGTTGGTGCAATACCCTCTGGGCAAAGTAGATGTGAATTAGAGAGAGACAATACCTTTTTTTTTTTAGGGCTGCTGCAGATTATTTTGAGTTTTGCAGCATCTTTATGCAGATGTTGCTTTTGTTTTACTATATTTACAGAGTAGAAATAACACAGTGATAACAGTTAAAAGTCTCTATGTAAACAAAAAAATAACATTTATTAACAAATCAAACAAAACATTAACAGTGGATAGCAAATAGAAGGATGTGGCAACGCATGTGCTTCACACGATCTAAAAAGTAGGACTGCTGAATGCATTAATGAATCAGTGAAAGCCTGCGTCAGCTGATATGGATTCAAGGAAAAACCTGAATAATGACCGATGTGTATGTCACTCTTGCATGAATTTCCTTATTTTAAATCGATCTGTGGACATTTCAATGAAATGGAGCAGCAGTTTTAGGGCTGGGCAATATATTGCCTTTTTGAAAAATATCTTCTTTTTTTTCAAAAGAGAAAAGAAAGAGGTCTATATATGTTTGTATCAAATGGTCTACTTTTTAATAGTATTACTGCTATGAATTCTTGCCATTTCTGACGTGATCTCATGTTAATCTATAGTTGTTTGGTTTGAGTTTTGAATCAGAGGTGTCTCGTTATGATTATTTTATGGATAAATATCTTAAATATAGCCATACAGTCCAAAAATATCTAGATATTATTTTTGGTCCATATGTGCAAATCTTTCCTATTGTTTTCACCACTAGCAGCCCTTTTTAATAGTCCAAAAACTCATCCTTGTTCTTATCTAATGAGCATTCTTCCATTTTTGCAGAGTATCGTACATCATTTGTGGCAAATTTCAAACACGACCAATCAGCGCTTTATTTCAGGCATGGTTTTATTCCTCCCACCTCTTCCATAAACGGCAGATATTTGGAGAGTATAACCTACACTTATCCTAATAACAGAGTATGGTTTTCCCCACGGTTTTATAGGCCAGGTTGGTTGCCATTACTTGTCTCCCACCACTGCCAGAATAATACACCTTTCCCACTGGCACAAAATCCCATTTAAACCCAGAAAAAAAATCGACTTTTAGTGGCAGTGGGAACAGGTCAGAGCTGCGTGTCTACCCAGGTCAAACGACTTTGCATTAAAATCGCCTCGCCTCTGATTGGCATGCTGTTGGAACACCGGAACCGGGTTGAACCGCTAATTTACGTGACACAATTGAACACAACGTGTAGACGTCAACAAGCGTCTGATCTAACAAGCCGAAACAAGGTCTGTTTACATTCGATAAACATGGAGCAGCACTCGTAAGAGAGATTTGGACAGATAATAGAGCAAAACAAAAAAGCATACTGACTACACCTTGCTTCCTTACATGTTGCATTCCATTGTTTACTTTCCTGATTTCTGTTGCTCTGGTGACAGCATCAACCCTAACCCAGCATGATAGTGTCACCAGAAACGTGACACTATCACCGACGTCACGCAGCTTGCTAGCTAGGGGTTAGGCTCAGCCTTTTCTGCTGGTGGGAAGGTAGCCAAATGTCAATTTTTAGCATGTCAACCCATATTTGAAAAACACGTTAATCCGCTTTTTTCAGAGGGAGAGAGGCTTAAGTGTTGTTTTTACATAACCGTTTCTCTATACAATAGAAACAGTTGGAAAATACATGATCTGTGATGAAATGAGTCAAAACACTTGACTTTTGTTTCCTATATGATCAATACAGGAACAGAAGAGCAGACGAGTCAATATTTGTTTCTACTTATCCACATGCTAATAACTTCTTTAAATTTTTCAAGCTAAATGAGCTGTGGGTATGATGATCCCGCTCGTATACTTTTTTGACAAAAGAGGAGAAAACTAGATTAGGTTGACCCAGCGCCATGTAGCTTGGATGTTAGCATGTCGTCAGAACAGCTTCATGGCAGCAGTGAAGGTAAAAATCAGCCTAGGGTATTTAACCCATAACAATGAGTTTGAACCTAAATCTTTAAAATGATTCTAAAGGAATGAGTCAGTTAAGATTGTTTTGTACTCAATGAAAAAATATATATTTATATATTATGCTTTGTTTTATAGTTGTGGCATTTTCTTAATATGGTTGCATTTGCCAAATAATCAGAATTTTAAAATCGAAATTTCTTAATCGTAGAGGCATTTCACTTTTAGTCACATTATATTTAACAACAGCAAGACTAACTTTCTCATTTTCCCCCTGTAGATGGCAGTAACACGCTGATGGTGGGTTTGATACCTCACAAAAGGGAAAGTGTTGTAGCTAGCACACAGATCTGTGCTGACAACCTAGCATTTCTATACAACAGTAATGTCTAGCAACGAAGGACTCTGGCCAACAGAGCATTTTGGGCCATGAAAACAATGAAACCCTGAAGCCAAACGTATATATGGTTGTGGTTCGTGTTGTGAAAAACTGTAAAAACAAAAAAACAAAAAAAAGAGCAGTTATGTTAGGAAAAAAAAAAATCACAATTTCGGCTATAAGCATAATAGCTTAGCACTAGTTCTAACCTATGCTTTACCAGTTGTTAACTATAGAAACAACATTTTTCGGCTATGAACAGGAAGAGTTTTTTGTTTTTACTTTTCTAATAGCTCTTTGTGCTAGGGCTGGGCAATGTTTTTCCATTTGCAGTGTTGTCGCAATTTAACAAAAGTTTTTAATCGCAGAAAGACAAAATTTTGGATATATTACATTTAACAAGAGTAACTTTCTCACTCCAGAGCTTCACAGGTTTAGTTAGGGTTTGTTTTCGATTCATATTTCAAGTACAGGTTAAATTCCAACTTTTAAGATTCAGGATTGATTCTTTGCGATCTGATCTTAAATTTGATAGCTGGTATTAAAACATTTCCCTAGCTGTAACCTGAATTTCATGACTGCAGAGTTAATTTAGTTTCATATCAACATTTGCCAGCAAATCAATCAACTAGTGGTAGACAATGGCTACTGTAAGGAGAGCTTGGATAGATTTTCTTTTGAAATCTATCCTTAGTTACATAAATCGAACTTTAGAATTAGTATTAGGAATTTTTTATTTATTTATTTATTTTTTACAATGCACAACCATGATAATGTCATGAAAACAATCAAAACCCTGGCGCCAAACATGTACATGCTTCGGCTTAGCAAAGAGGACAATTGAAAGAAAGTTAATTGAAAGAAAGTTGCAACTGAAATCTTGGTTGAAACAAAAAAATAATAATAATGCAATAGATAAAGGCAGGCCTCAGAAATATGCAGCAGGGGAAACAAAACACAGTTAAACAAATGGACCTTCTGCAGCTGACACAGACTTCCAGAAAGCTTTAGAAAAATTTTAAACCCCCAAATGATTCCCTGTCGTCAGCCAATGTGCAGCCTGTGCCATAAAAAGTAGAAAAGCATGTTTCTCTTCGCTGGCCTTGAAGTGATTAGTTTGCTGGTTACCTGTTTGCACTTTTTTTTTTAATATTACTTGTTTTACATTGGAATTTAACCAGCATTACATTGCTTGTTTCAGGGTTCACTAACTGATAACGGATTTAAAGAATATAATCTAACTGTAAAAAACTGATATTTATTCACTGCAATTTTTTTTGTTAAAGTATTTCAAGTGTATGTCTTGATGTAAGACTTACTAATTGGTAATAAGAGATAACAATGACACATAATTAGTCAAATTTTCTTATTTGCTGTCAACATTTAACTTTAAGCAAAATCAAGGCAGGTCACCTTAACAGCACCCACCACCCAAGCATGGTCAGTTTTCTGGATGAAGCCCTGCATAGTTTCCAACCTTAGCTACAGATTTCTGAAAGGCCTTCAGTGTCATCACCTCATTATTTCTCGCCTGTTTATAATGTCCTCTTTGGATTAAACTGAGCTCTGACAAACCTCTTACACCGTCCTAAACCCTAATCCTTCTCTAAACTTTTACACAACTTTCTACCAAATCCGTCTGCTCCGCTCCTTTATCTTCTGAGGCCATCAAAAGCAGCTGAAACTACACTGAGAATAAAC